TTAAAAGGTGTATGTTGAGTGGATTATCAGATGTCACATGATGTTTAATTGGATGAATGAGATCATGGCTATACATACAAAATTCCCTATATAAGCCAACTGCAAATAAAGAAGCTCGCCATTTTGCCTGAGAGAGCAGATGGTCACCTTTATTTAAAACACAACTTCAATAAGCGTGCTTATTCTCCGCGACATGGCTTTCCGTGAGACCTTTATGGCAACATACACGGCTTTTCTCTCTGACTTGATGTATTCAAAATCTGCATGGGTGTTAAAGTATGTGCTTAACTGTGGAATGTGTATAAGTTCCTCAGGCATTCCAAATTTTGGTTTGTCAGCCCGATCCACTCCTGTGTTAACTACTAGGCCCCAGCTTTAGTCCAAATTTATCTATTAAAATTTCCTTTCTTTCATTGCCTACACGAGGCATCAGTCATTAGTGACTCAACGAATTGTTTATAGGGAAGGAGGCAATCTTTCCTTGTTTTAAACACATACTTGAAATTAACACAAAGCCAATGGTTTTCTCTTTACTACTGAGGTTCACTTGTCTTTCCCATTATGTTGGGTACATGGAAAAATAAGAGAACAATGAATTAAAAATTAAAATAAAAATGATAGAAGGCAAGAAGAAACAAAGGAAGGGAAAAAGGAAGGAGGCATTGAGGAAAGAAGGGAGGAAAAGGGAAAGGAAGTAAACGGGGACACAAAATGATGCCTCTGGGTGATAAATGCAGAACTATTCTTAATATTAATACATAGGTTTGAGACTATTCAAGGTAGTTATGTCAAATTATTTAGGTGATTTTGAGTCCCTCTTGGTTTTCTCACATTCTTCTACTTCTTTCAGGATTGAAAACCTAAAAGGAAAATATGATTTGTAGAATTTTAAATTGTTACTATTATGTGATTTTTGTTTATGACTATAATTAACATAAAAATTAATTTAATTGGATGAATAGATATGTTTTATCTATAAAAGTTAGATATTGTAATTAGCTATTAAAGTACCAAAAAAAATTTTATAAGCTTTCAAGCTCAGCAAAGTATAAACTATGGATGGGTTATATTTAAAAATCTTATTTTCATCCTTAATTGATAGACTTAATAAATTATAACATTGATTGCATCCATAAAAAGATGCCCCATTCTTGCTGAAATATATAATGTCATTTTAATTATAATTTAAAATATCTGATTGGCACATAATTTCAATAAAGATTTGAATATTTGACATGGATTATCATTTCTTTTTTTCAGAATGATCATGTTGGATTTTAAGTGAACATGTAATCATATTTACATTTTGATTAACTGTACTCTTAAAAATGTAACAACTTGGAATAAAATGGCTTTTGCATCTGGTGGCCTAGATTTGATAGAAGAATTTTTTTGTTGTTACATTAACATCAATGCTACTAGTGTTAAACTCAAGCCATATGATATTACTATTGAAATTGTTTTATGGGGCCAGGAGCAGTGGCTCACACCTGTAATCCTAGCACTTGGGGAGGCCAAGACCAGGTAGATTGCCTCAGAATTCCAGATTAGCCTTGTCAAGAGTGAGACCCTGTCTCTATTAAAAATAGAAAAAATAGTCAGTCACTGGGGCATGAGCCTCTATTCCTAGTTA